TTGTGCACAACATTGGTGTGTGTGTGTGTGTGTGTGTGTGTGTGTGTGTGTGTGTGTGTGTGTGTGTGTGTGTGCGTGCGAGTGTGTGTGTGTGCGTGCGCGTGTGTGTGCGTGCGTGCGTGCGTGCGTGCGTGCGTGTGTGTGTGCGCGTGCGTGCGTGCGTGCGTGTATGTTCGGAAACGCAGCGTGCGCTTCGCTCCCATTCATTTCCGAATGCAGCCATCACTGGCGCTCCGTGTCCCCAGTCGCAGTGTGATTAACAGAACGGCCAATAGTAGCTGTGTCCGAATGTGCAAACTACAGGGTGTTCCAAAAGCCTTGGGCACATTTTGACATTGAATATCTCGGAAACTATTAAGGATGTAAAAACGCATCCGGTAAATTCAGAAAGCTTGCAATCTCAATTTCTACATGGAATGTTCAAAGATGTTCAATGTGAGTACCATTGGTCACACGACACACATCAAGCCGATAGTCAAATTCTTGCCAAACGCGTCCCAGCATTGCATTGTCAATGGTTGCAACAGCTTCTGTTATTCGTGCCTTCAGCTTAAAGCATAAGTAACCATCTGTTCTGAATTTACCATGCCATCTCACTCTGGACTTCCTCTCTGGTGGCTCCTTTCCGAATTTTCTGCGAAATGCACGTTGAACAACAGTCCATGATTCAGTTTTTGCAAATTCAAGCACACAAAACGCCTTTTCTGGTTGAGTGAACGCCATTAATGGGTCTGAAAAGAAGTAAAAAAATCAATAGTCTTATGAAAAACTTAATGCATACCTGTCAACTTTTCGGAGCGCCAACCTGTATAAACTAGCAAAAAAATCCTTATAACATACCAAAGCATTTTATATGTCAAAATAATGGCAGAAAAAAACCCACGAAATATGAATGATATATTTGTTTCCTTGTAGAACTTGCTTGTACACTCCCGAAGTATGCAATGAATACTCTGCTGTTTTCAACTAGGAACCACGTGATTTACTGGAAAGTTACCGGAAATGAAAGCATTCGAGTAGACTAGCACCATTCTGGGCAAAAGCAAACGGAACTACCTGTTAGGGGGGGAAAAAAAAAAAAACGGAAATTTTCAGAATCCGTATGATTTGTGCGATATGGCCATACACGTAAGATTCACCACAAAATCCGTATGAACTATGGCTAAACCGTATGAGTTGACAGGTATGCTTAATGTAATTAGCTTTAAAATGGCACGACACTTTATCTTACTACCATTTATAGTTAAGGAGATATGGGGACTTCAAATGTGCCCAAGACTTTTGGAACACCCTGGTATATCCTAATAAGAGCACTATTAAGGGATCACGTCATTTTATAGGGTTTTCCAAATGGCCAAAAGAAAATATATATACTGTAGTGCACTCACAACTACCCACAATGCACTTGGAAAAGTGAGCATCAAGGCACGGATTTATGATGCATTCCATGAAGGTGGGTCATCGGACTCATCGCACTTGGATTGTCCCATTTCCGACCTCAAAGGCCTGAGTGGCGAATAGATGGCTGGTTCCGATAAATTGTTGATCTGGTTCATCACAACATATTTTAACTTCCAGAAAACCTTCTGCATAATTTCCTTTAGTTATATAAACAAATGACTATGTTATTTTCAAACCATTTCATTCATTTCACCAAATCACTTGATGCACAAACAGTTTCAAACCGGTGTGTGAAGTTTGGGTCCTTTTTGTTCAGACTTCGCAACTCGACCTCCAAGTTCGAAGGGGCTTTCGACTGCATTTTTCCTGTAAGTCGGAAAAGTACAACTTCCCCCTTCCTGGAATGCAGCATTAAATTGATTCATTTCATTTGAATTGGATGACAGGTGTGCATTCTGTAGGACTGATCATGCAACTCATGTGCAACTCATCTTTTCTATCAGCGTCCTTTTTGGATTAGATTCAGGAAAGATGTACAAAATTATATTTATCATAAGTCTGGTCACTCTATAAAGATTGAGGGTAAAAATATTCTCATTTGTTTTGTGTACAAAGATAAAGAAATTTAGACTATTGTTGGTCTTTTTGGGCGGCCCGGTAGTCCAGTGGTTAGCACGTCGGCTTCACAGTGCAGGGGTACCGGGTTCAATTCCAGCTCCGGCCTCCCTGTGTGGAGTTTGCATGTTCTCCCCGGTCCGGCGTGGGTTTCCTCCCACATTCCAAAAACATGCATGGCAGGCTGATTGAACACTCTAAATTGTCCCTAGGTGTGGGTGTGGGCGTGGATGGTTGTTCGTCTCTGTGCGCCCCCCGCCTACTGTCTGAAGACAGCTGGGATAGGCTCCAGCACCCCCCGCGACCCTAGTGAGGATAAAGCGGTCCGGAAGATGAATGAATGAATGTTGGTATTTTTGTTTTGTTTGGAAAATTTCATTTTCTCAAGGCCAACTTCTTTAAATTTTTTAAAACTGATATTGATTGTTACATTGATTTCAAAGTCGTAGATAACAAGAAAGGGAGAAAGATTTTTGACAAATACTCCAAGTTGTACTCCAATATTTACTTAAATGTTAGGTTGTATGTAATCTTTATTTTGGTGATTTAAAGTGTGTCAATATTTTTTCCATATATGTAAGTATGCAAAATATGTATCATTATCATTCATGTTTACATTGACAAAGGAAATGTTATTGTTATGTAAAATTGAACATACCGTCAATTAAAAAAAGACAAAAAAGATTTTTTCGAAATCAAATGGAGTAGGAAATTCTTCCAATGTCTAACATCTATTCTGGTTGATGGTCTGACATTTTTTTTCATTCTCAACCTGTATGCCTAAACTATCGAATGTTACCAAAACACTTATTGGAAAAACATGTTTCACAGGCAACAGCAGGAAGAACAACAGAGTAATTTGGACATTTCTTCAGCAAGAAATTGAGCACACTCTTTATGCATATCATCCTGTTCTTCCTTTGTAAGTATAGTATAGATTGGAAGGAGGTTTGGCTCTAGCCATATTTTTTTTTTATTAGGAACAAAATTAAAGACATCTCTTATAAAATGATACGTTGATTCTACCCAACCAATTTATATCCGTTGGAATTTAAGAAAGACATAGACGCTAATTGCAGTTTTTCTAGTGACTAAAGAACATTAGTCCATTTGTTCTGGTCGTGTTCATTTACAAAACAGATGTGGTATAATTTGACACAATTTTATTATCAATGATATTTATCCCCAATTCTCCTTACTCTGGAAACAGATCTTATTTGGTATTATTGATTATGATTGGACTGCACATGCGCAATTTTACTTAATGAATCTTTTTTATCATTTTGGCAAAATTTTACACCCTTAGATCAACATTTATGCATAAGAAACCAACTTCTGTTGAATTTTATGGATCCAAAAATAACCATTTCTCTACGGTGTCTGTTTGTACAAAACGAGAAGCTGTGAAAACATATTATTATAAACTTTATATTTTTTAAATTAGTTTACTCAAATGGGCGGCCCGGTAGTCCAGTGGTTAGCACGTAGACTTCACAGTGCAGAGGTACCGGGTTGAATTCCAGCTCCGGCCTCCCTGTGTGGAGTTTGCATGTTCTCCCCGGGCCTGCGTGGGTTTTCTCCGGGTACTCCGGTTTCCTCCCACATTCCAAAAACATACATGGCAGGCTAATTGAACCTCGGTGTGAGTGTGAGCGCGAATGGTTGTTCGTCTCTGTGTGCCCTGCGATTGGCTGGCAACTGGTTCAGGGTGTCCCCCGCCTACTGCCCGAAGACAGCTGGGATAGGCTCCAGCACCACGCCGCGACCCTAGTGAGGACAAAGCGGTTCGGAAGATGAATGAATGAATGAGTTTACTCAATATCTTACGTTATACTTCTTCTTTGATTTGTATACGTTGTGTAAACTCCCTGACATGTTTTAAGAAGTTCATGAGGTTGTATATGTTTTCTATTTGATAATTCTCCATGTTTTGTATGCTCAGCTCCTGCCAACATCCTTGTTTGTTTGTCAATTGAATTGTTCAAGGGTTTAAAAAGAAGGACTTTTTTTTCTCCGACTCCGCAACTCGGACCTCCCAGCTCAAACTTTTTCTAGTTAGAAATCGCTTGTGGAGGCTCTCAGTCGTACAGAAAAGTTCCATCGTAGAAAGGGTTCTGTCAGTCGTCATCTGTACCTGTGGGTAAAAAACAAAAAAGGACGTTTCGCTTCTCTTACAGAAGCTTCGTCAGCGGTAGACAACCCTGAAGTCTCCGTGAAGACTCCGGGAAATTGCTCTGCGCTAAAAAGCTGAGCGTGGCCTATTTGAGGACTGGG